ATATCACTGCCTGTGAGCACAGTTAATGAAGATTTACACCTCATCATTAAGAATGCCATTCGAAAAAAAAAATGATGTCGGACATCTTTAGTAAATTTTAATCATTGAAATTCTGCTGATATATGAAAATTAAGCAATTTATACCTACTTCCAGTTTGACCAAAAATTGATGTTAATAGCCAAAACATGAAGTCGGAAGTCTCCGGTGATGCTATTCATTCAATTTTAAACAAATATCTGTAATATGAAAAGGCTTTCTGACAACTTCCGGTTTGACCGGAAGTGATGGAAAATAGCGAAAATCGATTAAAATGCGTTCACACATTTTCAGGGGTCTTATCATGGAATTCCAAATATCTGCAAAAATAAGCAAAATTTGACGACTTCTGGTTTAGCCTGAGGTGACGTTATTTGACTTTTTTTGATGATTTCATTAGCTGCTACTTGTTGTTTTAAAGGACCTCGCTTCTATAATGTATCATAAATTCCTAACAGACCTTTAGATATAAAGAAAACACTCCCTCTAGAAAGTCCCTCTAAAAAGTCCCTCTAGATCCCTAATCTTAGGGCCAAACACCTGTTTTTGGGAAAGTATGAAAGATCCGTCATTTTGCACAACTTTTGTTCTATATGTTTTAACAAAATATTTACAGATAAAGATGTATTGTAGAAAAAGTACAAGAAATTTTGAAATTTTCAATATGACTTTTTTTCTGATCATACCGAGCGTCAACTGTTAGACCGGAAGTGACGAAAATCGACGGAAAATAAAGTTTGACGTCTTCCATAATGGTAATCATTTAATTTTATGTCAACATCTTCAGAAAGAAATCATTTCTGGCTACTTCCGTTTGACCAGAAGTAGTATGAAGTGATGATACTAGATTGAAAATAGGACTGGGCGTCCTTTGTCACATTTGAAATTCTATTCCATGCCGATATCTGTGAAAATAAGCCGTTTTTGACTACTCTTTGTTTGGCCAGAAGTGACGTCATTTTAAACAACTTTGCTTCTTTGATGTATCACAAATTTCCAATAGTTTTTGAGATATTGAGAAAACAATTTTGGCCCCTCTATATCCCTTATTTTAGGGGCCAAGCCTTTTTTGTAGATATAAAATGAACAAGCGTGTCATTCTGCACGTTTTTTTGTTCTCTATGTTTTAACAAAATATTAACAAGTAAAGAGATATTCTTGAAAAAGTGATATAAATTTTGAAATTTTCGATATTACTTTTTTTGGACGATACCGAGCGTCGACGTGCGGCTTTTCCTGGAAAAATGAACTACCTAGTACATATTTACATGTTGCTCTATCATCGCTGAAAATATCAAGTTTTTATGTTAACTGCTTTATTAGAAAACGAGCGGACAAAGTGACCCTCAAAATCTATGTTAATCACAGAAATTTCCTGACAGAAATTGAGGTCATCAAAATAAAAACCTATATATAGATTTTTTTATGCTTTATCAGACAGGAAAGTTTTATATAAAAAAAAATCGAACTTGTTGTTTCTGAGAAATCGCGTGCACAAATTGGTAGGGAAAAGCAATAATAAAAATAGTGGAAGAGAAACAATAACAAAAAGATCTTCCGTTTAAGACGGTGGGCCTTAATTAAAATAGTGGAAAAATCAATTACAAATAATATTTTACTCTTTCAAATGATTTTAGAAAAAAGCTTCATTTTACGACTCTTTCCGGTTTACACCGGAAGTACTTCCAATGGATTATTTTTGTTGTCGATAATCCATATGAATGTCAGTTTTTAATGCCTTAATTGATTGATTGATTGTATGTTGTTTTACGTCCCATTCGAGAATTTTTCACTCATATAGAGACGTCACCATATACCGGTGAAGGGCTTCAAATTTTGACCTTTACTCGGGACTCAGGGCCATTGAGCAGTGAGGGATCTTTATCGTGCCAACGCCTGCCGTGACACGGGTCCTCGGTTTTTAAGGTCTCATCCGAAGGACCCGCAACTTTCACTTCAAAGTGCCGAGCGCATGGCGAAGGAACAGTTGCTACCCATTTTTTATCGACTTTGGTCTGTCGCGGCCGAGATTCGAACTCACGATCTCCTTATCACGGAGCGAGCGCTCTACCGACTGAGCTACCGTGAACGGTTAATGCCTTAATTCAAAACTATTCAATTTTTCAAAAATCGCTATATTAAATCTCATTTCCGGTGTCGACCGGAAGTGACAGATGCAAACACAAAAGATGTTATGCATATTTTAAGAAGTTGTTTTATCTTTCCTTAAAATATCATGAATTTATCTTGAGTCATCTATTAGAAAATGTGTAGACAACATGACAACTTGAAAAATGAAAATAAGACAAAAAATGCGACCGGAAGTGATTATTTTTTAAAGATTGAAGTACTGGAGATATAAAAATGATGCATCATAAAATATATACATATAATTGTCCAAATATTGAACAACTTTACAATGCCAGACATCTGGATTCAAGAAACAATACTATGTGACGAAAAAATTCATTCAAGTAACTCGTCAATAACTACATTCAGAAGATTATTTGACGATTGGAACCATCATTATTGCCTACTCACCATGTCGTTAATCTATATTCTCTACAACCATTATTCAAAGTAAGTCAAACACCATGTAACCAAAAGAACGTGGACCAGTAAATTTTAATTTTAAACAAGCTAATTCAAAGAATTTGTGTCCCCCGCTTAAGGGAAAAAAGAGTATGCGCAGATCTAGAGGGAGATCGGGAAACCCCACCTCACCTCCACTCCCTGGAATTTGCAGAGTTTTTAAATGTATATACTGAAGCAAATAAACTCATAAATCAAAATAATTGACTAACATTTTTTTTTAGCAATTCATATCCTTGGAATATCCGGGCTCTTTCCTTTTGGTTCGATAATTTTCAGGTAAATGGGGTAACATATTCTTAAAAAACATATCTCATGATATTCATAAAAAAAATGATTTTGTGTTAAGATCATTCAGTTATGACCAAATATAATCCAAATATTAGCAAAAAATCAAATTACTTCAAATTTTTATTCCTTAGTTCACATAATTATAGACCTTAAGTAAATAGTAACCTAACCTTGACCTTTCTTTTTGGACCAATCACATAAAAATGTAATACTTCGACAATGGTTTAAAGATTACTTACCATATCCAAAACAGTTCATTAGTTCTCCTAGAATAACAATAATAAAAAGCATGATGAGAACATATATTTCTATTGGAATACCATATTAACTGACTATAGCTGAAATGGCTCTGTTTAGGCATGTGTGGTTGCCACTATTGCCGGTTTGAAAGTAGTAAATATCAGCAATTCAGTTTCGGAAGATGGCTTGTTAAGAAATTTGAGCACTTTGATTTACTGCTGACGAGAAACAGTTTCAGTTGATTTATATGCATTTTCTTTTACAAAGATATAACCAATCAGAACTTCGAAAGAAATACTGTTTTTTCTCTTTGTTTATTTTGTGCAAAGTTTCATCCTTAAATATTTTCCTTACGCATTGATGACCTCATTGTATAATAACCCGAATCAAAACAACGTGAAGGAAATATTTGAAATTGAATCTTCGCAATTTGTTTCCTTGAAATAGGATGCTCTATATATTCATTTCTTTGTTCCTTTCTGTTTTTTTGTAAATACATCGCTCATTTGATCAGGAAAATAAATATGAAATTTTGAAATTACTTACAAAAATCTACGCAATTTGTTTCATTGAAATAGGATCCTCTATATATTCACTTCTTTATTTCTTTCTGATTTTTGTAAATACATTGCTTATTGATCAGGAAAATAAACATGAATGTTCATAAATGAAACAGACATGTATCATTGAAATATGATTGCTTTACAATACAGATTTAGATGTTTCGTAGTCTATCATATCTTGTCTTGAACAAGCCTGTTTTCTTCGTGTTCTTCTACCGTTTTTGGGTAATTTTTCTATCTTAAACTTTTTTTTTTTTAAAATGCACTTATACATTGTCTGTTATGTCCTGCTTCTTTCTAAAATCCCAAAGATCAAAGTCTTTAAAGTTTAATTCCATAAGCACCGATAACTGCAACCGGGTGAGCAAACAAACTTTCTTTACTCAAATTGTTTACACACACCGTTTCAGTTATGAGACTACATCTTTCAAAAAATAATAATTCAATGCATAAGTATATGCATATTTTGATATTTTTTTTATTCATATCCAATAAACATAGAGATAAGCAGACGATCTTTCTTATAAACCAAGATAAGCTACAGTATGGCACGATAAAGACATGATTTTAGTTTCTATATTTGAATTTCAGATAGAATACTCCTTGGATTTGAACTTTTCGAAAGTTTTAAGGAAAAAATGAATTAATTCATGAAGTTATTCCGCCTTTATTAACTACAAAATGTATAATCATTATTATGATTCAAAATGCACTACAAAGAATGCAAAAATAAGTATTTTAAAGATGTATTATAATTATGTGTTTTATTGATAAATTGGATTGAAAGTAATTTTTTGGGTTAACCCCACCCCCCTTCTCACATTTAGCGTGTATACTAGAGTCTCAGGCATGCAGTCTCTCCCCTCTAATCAGTAATGAACACGTCCATCTAGTGCCCACATGACGATTAGTCTTCAGAGCGTTCATTTACGTAAAAGTTGAATGAACCTTAAACTTACAATTTATACATGTATACCAAAACCGATTTTGTATAAAATGTCGAACAAAATAGAGAGTATCCCCGGATCAAAATTATGCAGGTTACTTGTAACTTGTTACAACTGAATGTTTAGTAACATATAGTTATGTATATAACAAGTCTTATGTACATTATAATCATTGGAGAGTTTACTCTTTTAGATTTTTATTTATGATCATAAATAATTTGTATTTAGCCATATTTTATAGTATAATAATATTCTATTCAGAGAGAGAGAGAGAGAGAGAGAGAGAGAGAGAGAGAGAGAGCAAAAGCACCAGCAGAAATCCTATGTTACATTTTCAAGAATTCCTAATTTGTAGGGTCAATTATTTCTTCATATTGATGAGTTGTGTTATCATTATCCAAAGTCCTTGAATCTGTCATTGTGATATACTTTTCTGGTCTTTTGTTTGCTTTTGCGTTTAGTTGACAGTGTCTACAAATAGAATTAAAACAGCCAATAATGAATGCATTTTTACAAGATGTTCTGGAAAAAATCAGTTTCTTTTAAAGAAACAAAAATCAATTTTGTGTTTACGATATTTCAATATATCATAAATTATATTAATAAACTTTTGGCAACACATTTACCATAAAAGTGTTTATTTGATAAACCAATGGTCATCAAAAGAAATGTCAAAAATCCGTTTTATTTTTAATTCTTGATCAATTTACATAGCAAAATCAAAACAAACTTTTTTTCAAAAAAATCAAAACAAACTTTTTAATATTACCTTATTTTAAAAATGATGATGAAAATTGCAAATAAATTTGATGTCAGAAAAACAGTTATTCCTGCAATCCACGCAGTAGAAAGAAATTTATACACACAATTTTTTTCTTCTTGATACTCGGTAAAATCTGAAAATAATGATGGAACATTGTATCAGAGTTGATTATCTAATCATTTAAAACAATTAAAATGTATTTAAACACCAAACATCTATGAATTTTTCTTGAAAACAGGCCCTTGTTATAACAAACTAGAATTCACTACATATAGAGATCTATAAACTTGATAAAATCAAATTTGATTTTTTCAAAAGTTCAAAAACACTTCCGTCTAAATTCTTTGAAACTTTTTATCTTTTAAATTATAAATTCTATTTCAAGTCGAGATACGTATAATTTTCGACAATTTTTCATTAGTCTATCTTTGATTTGAGACTTTATTTATTTCATCCACATATTCCCATTAAAATCTTACAAATTGCCAGTTTCGTTCCTCGAAAGCGACAGAAAAATGGCATACTTCTTTTGTGAACCCCCCCCCCCCATAATATTGTTTCTTTCATCTTTTCACCAATGACATTTGATACAAGTCAAATAAAAATAATTGATTTGTTCAAATATAAATACATATCAAACTAAAATATGATTAAAAATAGTACACGGGTAGTTGAAGATTAATTATGTATGAAATATAAAGATAACGAACATACAGAAATCCAGTTAAAAAGTGATTGAAACAATACAAATTGTGAGCAGAGCAAAAACAGACCTCTAAAACATCAGAGGTGGGATCAGGTGACATGGAGGAGTAAGCATCGCCTGTCGACCGGTCACACCCGCTGTGTGCTCCTTATCGTAATCGGGTGATCGGAAAAATCCATATACAATTTAGTGTGATAATAATGACAAAACAATTTGAATTAAAAAGTAAACATTCGATTCTCGTTAGATTTTATTTGCTAACAAGGTCATTGAATCGACCATAAAATATGCGAAACGTTGACATAAAACAAGATATGTAGAAGACGCTTTTGCGTATCGAATCAACTGGGAGATATACATGTTATCTCCATATGCAAGTGATAATGGTATATTGCTACATAAGTAAGGGTAGCTTCCTGTCAGAAACTTCAGTGCCTATTAAAAACAAATTTCTCTACAAAGCTGTTAAGTCACTCACTTTGATGATCACAGATACGACCTATAAATGGTCCTTGACATCCACCGTCACACGTACCGTCATACCTACTACAGTTACTGCAGTGATCACTACACCGATGCCGACATTCAATTCCAAAAAAGTTTGGAGGACATTCTTGGGTTAAAAAGAGATAGGAATAGAAAAAATAATTTCTGGTCGAATCAAGAATTTGATGATGATTTATTTTCCCTCTGTTTATCATTCCTTGATATCTTCCAAAATACCTAAACTGTAACGTTCTTGCAGAAAATAATAGCGCTTAAGGCAGATAGTTAACTTCTCACATTTCACTGCTTATTATAAAAATAAATTCTAACGTATACGTTTGTACCTGTTGTACACTTCGGGAACCCCATCCACCCAGCTGTACATTTACAAAAACCATTAATATGGTTACATATTTCTCGACATCCTATGGAACATTTCTCTCTGCAGTTTAAACCATAAAACCCAGATTCACAAACTAAAAAAAAGCATTAAAACAAGATGAAGCATCCAAAGCTCAATACTAAACAATTTATATGAAAGTATCCTAATTACATATATGATACAATGTGACATAATTCAGTATCTTAAATAATTGTAGATAATTACCACCCCCACAATTATTTCCTCTGTAACCGGCCTTACATCCTGTTTTACAACTCCCATCCAGGTGATAACAACTCTCGTTGTGTGAACAGTGACCACTGCAGAAATAACTACAATTCTTCCCAAACATTCCAGGCAAACATTCTTTCAAAATCGAGAAACACAAATTTCATCATAAAAATCAATGAACTTTGCTTTTAAAAATGAACTACCCAAAAAGCTTTCCATTACTATTTATCGATTCCCGAAATCAGATCAGGAAGATTAAATTATTTCAAAAGATTCCTTGACGATAAGTGTCTCTAAGTGAATTTATAACTTTCTTAAAGACAATATGTAATTCTTGTCTGACCAAGCACATATATATCATGATGATATGTCATTAATTTACAAAATAAATAACTTTCTACCTTCGTGACATCTATCTCCGAAATACCCAGGGTCACACCCTGTGCTACATATTCCTGTAGCCTTATCACAGAGTTCTCCATTCAAACAATGGCCACAGGTGTGTTTACAACTTGGTCCGTAACTTCCATTTTCACACGCTGACGGAAAAGTAGAAATCATTAAACTTTAATATCTCAAGTATGACTTATATTTACAGGTATGTATTCCCTCCTTGATCAAATTATTGTAAATACAATATGAAAATTGATAAGGTTATACTCTTGTTACAAAGGTCTCCATGATAGCCAGGATCACATTCTGTCCCACAGCTTCCAGTCTCCACGTCACAAGGAACCCCATTTAAACAGTGTCCACATTTGTATATACATTTTAGACCATATGTTCTGTTTTTGCACCCTGTCAGTGATAAGTGCGACATAACAAATAACATAAAATACATTCCTGTAAACACAGATATAGGATTTTGATGAAGTATATAAACCTTAGAGAAAACATATCGACAGATAGTGCTCGGTATATTTTTTTCTAAGGTCTATATATCTAGGATTGTATTGAATCAAAAGACTACTTTAATTTATTTTATTATTTTTTGTATTATTTAATGAAAAGTGTCTTTAAAATAATCTATGGTTTAATTATAGAGTAATTCCTCTCATATAAGACATTGTTATATAATACTCATTATGACATTCCAATTACAACTAGGAGTTGAAATATCTAATAATGTAATGCCTTCGCCTTTTTTTCAAAGAAGATTTTAGAAATATCATCTCAAAAGCTTTCTTCTAAGCTTAAAATAGAAACATGCTGTTTTTATACTTTTTGCTTGTGCTCTCGTTGGAGCCAATTTAAAGCAGGGAACAAGAGAAAAAACCATTAAAAAGATTTACACTGCAAATCTTATCTGGCATAATATTTTTAAAAAAATTCTTTTCTATCTTTTTTCTCACAAATTAGATTGCTTAACTCAAGAAACAGTCGATATTGGAAACTCAAATCTGTGTGAGAAATTCCTGCCCATATTTCTTGTTTATAAAGTTTTAGAAAAATAAAATTAACACACTACTCCGTTTTAACTCTATGACAAGGGTTTTACAGATGTTAAGAAATGTATTATGACATCACAGTTTAAGAAGTAACAAACTAAAAAGAAATTTATTTTTCTTACCTTCCTGACATACAGATCCCAGCCATCCTGCCGTACACCCGAAACAATTACCACTTTCAATCTCACATTTATGTTCCAGGCATTTGATTGAACATTTTAGGCTGCAGTTATTTCCATATATTCCTGATTCACATCCTAGTGAAAAAAACCCATTGCTCTTAATATATCATCTTTCGTTTGGATATTAACAGTTTTTTTAATCTCTGGAATCTTATTCATAATAAAAACCCAACCAAACCAGGAAGGAATATTTTTACCGGGTAGAAACTTGACTGTAAAATATGCATTAAAAATGATTTCATTATCTGAAGATTTTATTTTTTCAAATTTATGCCATTAGTTTAGCATGCTACTTAACAATATGAAAATTAATGGTAATCTTCCAAGTTCAGGCAACACAGCAAAATTAGCTGCTTTTCTATCAAAACCAAGTACATTTTTACAATATTTAGTGTGTAGTTTTCACGTTTGAAGTCCTTTTAATCTTTTTTTTAAAATCCTTATCTTTGTTGAGTTTAATAGAAATTGGATTGAAAGCATCCCAAACTCATTTCCATACATCAAAATTGGTACAGTTGAGTGATCAAATAGATGAACAGTTGTTTTTATACTTGGATTTAATTAGTTTATTGAACTCGTTATTCGGTACTGGTTTGAATTTGAACGTCCGAATATCGAATACTAAAATCGGCATTCGGTTACTCGGAGTCTGCCACATCTGTTTCATATTCGGATGTTTCACTGACTATAGACGATAAGGGCCAACTTACAAGTAAATTGTATGACAAACGAGATGACTTCAGCTTTTCCATCGTCAACGTTCCTTATCTATGTAGTAATATTCTGCTAACACCTGCGTCTCCCAACTTATTTGATACTCAAGAGTATACTCTGAGTACGATCAATTTTTAAACCCAAGCAGGTTACAGAAAAATAAGTTGATGCTACAGGGATTTCAACAACCTCTTTTTGAGTGAGCATTTCGTAAATTCTATGGTCGTTATAATGACCTTATTAGCAAATATAACCTATCATTGGATCGTATTACTAGTATGGCTGACGTTTTTCATACCATTGTAAGGCCTTTATTTTTATATTAAATTTGACTACAGAATATTCCGTCTACCTAATCAATACATAGTGCTCACGGTTGGTGTGACCGGTCAACAGGGGATGCTTACTCCTCCCAGGCCTGATCCCACCTCTGAAATTTCCGGGGGTCCATGTTTTATGCCCTGTTCACAGATTTGTATTTTTTGTAGATTTTTGTTTAGATCGATTACTGTCCTTTATCTTCACCTTTTTCATTGATGATACAAGGGTTTCAACAATC